TATCACGGTTGCATTTTGTGTCGTTGTTTTGAAAACGTTCTGCTTCACTTGTGGCCCAAAAGGAGCTGTGTGTTCTTTACCTGAAACATTTCACCACGGTGGGCACATCCACGGTGTAGGACATGGTGTATGGCTTCCCATTGTCAAGGGTCTCCAGTTCCTGTGCAAACGACACAATATCAGAATTATGGATGAATAATGGTAACCATGGAAATAAAATAGCAGTCGAACGGACATTCAAATCAACGTAGCAGGCTGGTCAGAGCGGCTGCCATTTTTGTGTGCATCATTGGGACCGTTGTTGTGGGCTAACTTCTGTACAAACTAAACTGATATCATGCAAATCAGGAAATGACTCAAATTTAACAACTCAATGCTTCATTCAAAAACTCACAGAAAAAAAAAAAAAAAAAAAAAAAAAAAAAAAAAAAAAAAAAAAAAAAGGTCACAGCGTAGGAAACCACATTTCTAATTTCCTGTAACCAGTGTAGCATTAAAGCAGGGTGGAGTTAGCAAGCTAGCTCGTGAACTAGCCAGCTGTCCACTAGTTAGCTAGCAATTAAGGCACAATGGTAAATGCCATTTTTGGCATTTTCTCTGAATGGTGTGCAAAAAGAAAGACATTTATAAAAGGGATGACCAAGAGGAGGAATACACAATAGCAATATTGTAGAAATTTAACTACCAGATTGTCAGTTTTAGACAATCTGTACTGATCTATTCTGGTTCCTTTGTGTTTTGACATTTAACAATGACTCACAGCAAGGTAGGCAGCATCCCTCTCAATGGCATCGGCCAATCGGTTGAGGAGCAGGCCGCGATGAGAGGCGTCCATCCGTCGCCAAGGGGACCCCAACCTGAAGGCATCACGTGCTGCTTTCACCGCCTTGTCCACATCTGCCTGGAAATATAAAATGATTCACTTGGTGAGTTTTAAAAGTATACTCCTGTGAAAACATATCTTTGGGGATCAAATGCTGGAGGGGTTAAAGACAGTAAACTGAAGTCAAAACAATCAATAGCATCTAAAGTATAATCCGTTTCTCTGTTGATTCATAGATCATATATCCATAAAAACACAACTTCTGTGTCACGCCATCAATCAATATCTGTAACGTTTTTTAACATTCTCGTTGTTTTGAATCCTTCAACTTTTGCCATTTCATTGTTTGCATTCATTATTACTATATTTTGATTTTATTCTCAGTTTTATAATTACAATATGTGCTTTACACATCTGCCTTGTGTAGCAGCTACACGTGCATTTTCATTTCAGTTGGACCTACCGAGCTCAATTTCAGCTTAGTGTTATTTTCCAGCTCCACTAAATGTCCCGTACAAATGCTCCCCACCTTCACTGGAACATAAATGAATGAATGCAGTCTGTATATATCAGACAGTGTGTTTACCTTGTCTGCCTCTGCAACTTGACAGATGACTTCCCCAGTCGCCGGGTTGATGGTAGGGAAGGTTTTCCCGCTCGTTGCATCCTGCCACTGGTTGTTGATAAAGAGCTGAAACATTAAAATGTATCATTACAATGGCTGCATTCATACCAGAACAAAGATTTTGTTTACTGCTGAAGTAAAATAAGTCTGATTGTACAGAAGTCTATAAGAAAATGAACCCACTTCTCACGTGATTTAATACAGCATGATGTCCATTTTTTAAATGTTTTACTAATTCAAAAATTACGTTACTGTCTTGTTGTCGTGAGGACATTTTTGGAAGAGCAGGTGAGATAGATAGATAGATGAACTATAGAGTGTGTATGATGATGAAGAAAATAGCCTGTTGTATGATAAAAAAGGCATGGTGTTATGTTCAAAATTTCTTAAACAAAAGGCAAAGGAAAAAGCCCCCCTCCTTGTTTCAGAAGAGAAGAAGCATGCAGAGGAGAAGAGGCACTACACTATCAATAGTAATATTTCATGAAATAGAGGCCCCATCCGCACCACACGACAGACTGGTGTGTCCGCCTCATGGTCCAGATGAGGTCTGATTATCTCCAGGGATTCAGTTTCTTTATCTCTCCAAAGTCTCTGAAATGTCTCATATTACACATTCCTTAACCCAGTGGTTCTCAAACTGTGGGGCGCGCCCCTCTAGTGGGGCACGGCGGTATTGCAGGTGGGGCGCAGAATTTTTCTATTTCAAGAACTTTATTCATACCTGCAAACTTGTCGCTTTTCGGCGAAATTCGCCGTTTTAAATCAAACTATATCATCCACGTGAATCGTGTAGATCCGTAGAGGGGTTTTTTGCGGGGCGGTCAACTGGCCAGCCAGCGTTTCTCAGATTGGAGTGAGACGAGGAGAAAAGGTGATGTCGTGATCTTCACAATAAAACATCTCTGATGGGACGTGTCGAGTCTTGGCCAATCAGCGTTCAGATGATGTCTACACCGTCTTTCCCTCCGTTACAGTTTAAGTTCCGTTATGTCCCGTTATCGTTCAGACTTGCTGGGTTAAGTTAACGTCCACTGCATGCGGAACTTCGTGGACTGTTAACGTTCGTCATTATCACGATTTAGGAGGAAAAAACGTAACGTGATGAAACATGAAGCCCCCCCGTGTTCCGGTTCAGTTCACGCGGTCACTCGTTAACGTTAAACCCGAACACCGGCGGATCTGGTTGCAGGTTGTTTGTTTGAACTCAAAGTAGAATGAAAGGCCCAGATACTGATGCGATGATGAGGTCAAAGAGCTTCAGGAAGAGGAGGCTGTTTGTGTAGCGCAGCTTGACGCAGGGCTGAGATGTGAGTGGAGCTGGGCCTGGATAAAGGTGGAGGTCTAAACAGACGCGAGTACAGCTTCCTGCTGTCACAGTATTTTAAATACATTGATAAGGCAGGGTATGCTAAATGCAGCCTCTGCTCCAAGGAGATAAAGTACAGCAACAAGGGCTCACATGCCCTCTCATCACACTGCCAGACACTGTTCACTGTAATGACCACAGCCAGTGTACTAACAGTCCCAACAGTCCCACGTGCTGTTAAATCACAGCTATTTTACTTTTAGAATGCTACATTTTAAAGCTCATATTTAAAATAAAATGCTCCAGATATGTGTGACACATATCTGGAGCATTTTGTTTAGTTTTGCACAGGTTGCACGTTATTGTTGTTTTGAAAAGATATGCAGTGTAAAACTCAGTAAAACTCTTTATTGCCAAATATTTGAACTGGTTTTGTTTAGTTTTTCACAGGTTGCAGTTTATTGTTATTATCTTAGAAAGATATTCAGTGCAAAACAGGTGAATTGCAGCCAGAATAAGCTATTTTTTGTGGGTGGTGGGGCATGAACATTTTTCTGCCTCCAAAGTGGAGCGTGACAGAAAAGGTTTGAGAACCACTGCCTTAACACATCGATCAGCTCAGTGATTGGCTGAACCCTTGGACTTCAGTCGGCCACTTCCTTGACACATTCCTCCCCCCTTCTTGAAGGCTGTGCTCAGAAACATCCCCCTCTCTCTGACTTTATGGCGGTGTCATAAATTCTCTGGTTTCTCTCACAGTGCACAACTAATTCAGTAACGCTCCCTTTAGTTTAAACCTTCTACAAGTAAACATATTGTAACACATAATATCCATCGCTAGGAGCGCTTTGAAACTTACATTCCTCACAATGGCCATAAACGCTTTGCAACGTTTGTTTCCCCTGACAGGAGTAAGACGCAGAGGTTTTTCTGTCATATGACTGTAAACATCACAGACTCACGTGGATTCAAATCAGAAGGACGGGAATAACCTCACCCTTCACCTAACGACATGTAATTTATCTCTTCGGATAGGAGATATATAATAGGATTACGCAATTGGAATTTGGCCAGATTCCCCACTGCCCCATGACTCTCGTTTGTAGGCTGCTCCAGCACTTCAGACACCGTTAGCGGACAGTAGTTCAAGAGAAAGTTAGTCCTGGACCCTGGTCGTAGCGTATCCAGCACGTTCTCCAAAGCCAAAGCAAACCTTAGAACGTTACTTCATCAAATTGAGAATTACATCCTCGGTGTTACGTTACATTGTTTTAAGCGTTTCAGTTATGTTCTCCATTAACACACACTTGTTGACTGCCCAGTTGGGCGATGCTAGATGTAGCCTAACTTACCTTGTTGTAGTGGACCTCCGGTTGGGTGTTGGGTGCGGGGATTGCAGCCGCAGAGTAGTGACACACTGGCGGTCTGCTCAGTCTGGGGAGGGTCCGAGAAAACACGGTACGGATCATGGTGCTTTCTGTGTCCTGCAAGCAAAGGCGACTCTAATAAAAATCTGCGTTCCGCCTCTCGTGGAGATCGGAGAGAGGGGGCGGGGCTAGTCCACGTTCGTGCGTCCTGTTTGGCAAAGGTTTTGTATTTAATTTAGTTAAATATTTGAAATACTAGTCATTCTGATCCACACTCCATACCAGTTATTGGCGATAATTCACCAAATTTTTGTTTGCCCACCGAAAATATAAGTAGAAAAAGAGTGATCTCTGATCAACCGTACACATGTAATTAACCCTCCGAAGCAGAAGATGGCGGTACTGAGTTTAGATGCTAACTTAATACTCTGGTTGCCAACCGCTGTAATGTAACCAACCCAAGAACGCGAAGAAGAAAGCTATCCTCATTGAAGGTAACCCATAGCTCGTACAGCATGTAGTGCATCCTTCTTTTTAATTTAAACATGTATATTCCTACAAAGCAACTAGGTTAACTAGTGTAGAAATCAATAAGATAATCCCGCAGGGGTTAACGTTGACGTTAGCGGTTAGCTGGCTGATACTGTAACGTTATTTAGGTTCTTTGCTGGTTCTTTGCTAGCTTAGCTACCGTCTGTTGTGCTAGCTAACGCTACATAACGTTAGCTCAGTAAAGAAGCTAAGCGTGTTAAGTCAACTCAGTCAGCAAGAGGCAGCGATTCATATCGAAAGCGGCAACAATATATACATAAAGGTAAGCACAGTCATTGGTAACATTCATATGGTCATCATTCAAATAACGATAGACTTAAAATTAAACGATGATCCCCATTGAAACTACTAACACCGCTACTTTTCTAAAAGCTGTTAGGTAGCGCACTGTTTTTTAAGGCTAAATGACAACATTGGGGCCTTTTGCAGTGAATATATCTGCAAGTATTCAGTAGTTACATTGTTGTGCACGTTATCTAGATTGAGGCATTGTTTGGCTGGTCTTTGATTAATGTTGTTTCACAGCATGGCGCTCAAGTCAGGAGAGGAGCGTCTGAAAGAGATGGAGGCTGAGATGGCTCTGTGAGTATAACTGCTTTATACTCACTCTACGCTTTTAACTTATTCCAGGTGCTACCGAGCAACACTAGCAAGTATATTGTATCTGGGCGTAGAAAAAATCAGGTGGGCCTAACTCAACACAATTAGGTTACTGTCACCATAAAATGATGGTATGTATCATTAAGACACATGCAGATGACAAGAATCTGTGAGTTGCTCTACCGCTCACACAACGAGATATTCGTCTTGTCCCAGGCTGATGTCATGTCAATGTTAGATTGATCTCAGACTAGGTGTCACTCACTAATGTCATTTCACTTGGAGAAACCTAAGACTGGATAAAATGATCACAATATTACAAGAAAACTGTGTGAGAGTTCACTGTGGGGCAGATTTGCTGCAGTTTTTAGATGCAAACTTGATGCCTTCTTACCCAGGCACGTATCAAACAAAGCAAACATCTCAAACTCTCAGCGACTCCGACTAAAACTATCTGATACTATTTGCAGTAGAGGTCGACCAGTTAATCGGTTTGGCCCGATTAATCCGAGGCTTGACCCATGAAGTCAGTGTGGGCCTGAGATGCATTTAAATCAGAGTTAACTTTATACAAGACAGCTTTATTCCTGAATCATTAGCATGATGAGGTTGCTGGTTATAGTACGGCATTATTATTGGACTGAAAATAACTGCTGCTCTATCGAATGCATGCAGTCTCTGTTTAGTTCGCAGGCATGGTCGTTACAACTTAGCCCGCCGTAAGTGCAAGTTCGGCACAACTAAGGGCCACGTCTGATCGTCTGAGGCCGATTCACCGGGTATCGACTTTTTCCTGTTGTCATTCCTCAGCCTTTAAAAATCCACTATTGATCAACGTCTAATAAATTCAGACCAACAGACTCTTAAGTGTAACTGCAAGAATGTCATTCTTTGATTTCTCTTCATGTTGTATAGCTAATATCATTAATTTATGTGTGGTATGCATTGAAAGAAAATGTTATGATCTTCTTCATCTTGGGTAAAACGGCCCAAAAGGGAATCTTGTAGTTAACCCTTGAAGAGCACCGTTGGCGGTCTGACCCCCCAGTATAAATACCCGTCTGTCTCTGTGCTTGTCTTGCTGCAGTTTTGAGCAGGAGGTTCTCGGTGGTCCAGTGCCAGCGCCAGGAAGCCCCCCTCTCATGGAGGCCTTACCCATAGCTCTTTCTGTCCCAGCGGTTGAAATGGTGCGACACATTATCGGCACCAACACCTACAGACAGGTTTGTACCACGCTAGTAGTACCTGGTTAGTTGAGTCATGAATGTGCTTCTTTTGTCTGAATGGCAAAATACTGTCAAATAGAGCTGATGGAGAAAATGATGTTTCCTGTTCTTTGTGAACAACATTCACCGTGTCGTCTTGTTTGCTACCGTTGGTCCTCTCTCTCTCTTGTAGGTCCAGCAGACATTAGATGCCAGAGCTGCTAGTTTCGTTGGTCCTCCACCGCCGGTCTTTGCAGGACCAGGTGAACATAAACTCTCTCCGTAAACACTAACTATGGTTTTGCAGTAAAATACCCGGTTATGATGGTTTTCAATTTGTTTCAATTTGTTTTTATTTTATTCAATTTAGTTTTTAGTAGGTTTTCAGAGTGTGTTTGCTAGTTTTAGTGTAGTTTCAGGTTTTCAGAAAGATGTAGTTTTTAGTTTGACAGTTTTTTGGTTTGTTTTAGTTCAGACCGGGTATGATGTCTCAGAAGTATGCTGCTACATATTCATACACAATACATGAATGGAGAACTGGCAGGAATGGCCATAATGTTTGAATCTTGTACTCTTTCACTACCACACTTGTTATATTCATTTTCATTTATTTTCATTTGTGTTTGGAACCAGACAACCAATATAACTTCAGTTTATCATTTCAGATTTCCTCTTAAAGGATATCATTTTTTTAATTTAGTTTCAGTTTATGACTATTATTACTTCTTATTTTCATTTTGTTTATTATAATAACCCTGAAAATACTATGCAGCGAGTACTATGTTCATCATCATTCAAAGTATATATACATATATAATTTTATAATGGAGAAAACACTCCTTAACACTAACTGTGTGACTTGTGTCCGTCCCAGTCCCTCCAGTACGTCCTCCCATGCTGAGACCAGCCTTCGTCCCCCATATCCTGCAGAGACCTGGTAAGGCTCCTTCTAGAGAAGTATTTCCTCTTCAAATACCACATTCATGAGAACCTCTCTCTCTGGGTTTGTGATGTGTCTGGATTTAAGATATTTAAAAGACCTTTTCTCTCCTCTGGCACCCCTGCTTGACTCTCTGCTGCCGTTCGTGTGTGTGTGTGTGTGTGTGTGTGTGTGTGTGTGTGTGTGTGTGTGTTGACAGTTGGTCCGAGGATGCAGATGATGCGTGGTCCTCCAATAGCTCCTCCTCTGCCCCGGCCTCCTCCACCGCCTCCCATGATGCTCCCTCCTTCCATGCAGGGCCAGACACCTCCGGGTGCCTCTCACCCCAACCAGCACATGGCCCCCCACCCTCAGGTCAGAGCTCACAGTTTGGCACGACATCCGTTTTCACCTCATCAGTCTGCGTGGTGGCACACTGTTGCTTTCTGTCTTGCTGTCAGCAGTTACTCTTCCTATCAACACAAAGAATATGGGTATCAACTTTATTTCTCTCTTGTGTCATCACCATCGCTTTAGTTATTCTGCAACCTGTCTTAAGTTCCCTCTGTGTCTGTCCAGCTCCGCAATATAGTCTCGATGGCCCCGCCCACAAGACAGGGAGCTTTGCCTCCCGGCAAACAGACGCCGTCGATCATCCAGGCGGCACCGACCGTGTACTCCGCTCCTCCGGTCTCGTCTGGACACAAAAGAGTGGACGTTCGAGCTCAGAGACAAGCCAGAATGGTATTTGCCCGTCGAAGCGTCATGAGCGCTCGTTGTGTGCTTGATCTGTCGCTTCATGTGATTTTTAATATTTAGCTTGTGTTGCCTGGACATGTGTGTTTGAACACCAGTGACGGCATCGCTTCCTGAACAGAGACGGGTTCCTTTTGTGTCGTGGTGTATTTTTAAAGGGGATGTTCTTAAGAGGTAAACGTTAGAGGACTATAGGTATAACTAGACTTTTATAATAACTCTGATTTAAATAAAGTCCCTTTCCCGCTGGACTAAAACTCTCTAACATCTGGCTTTTGTATTCAGTGGGAAAAAGTTACAATCAGTGTTCATTCCCGGGACATTGATATTGGATATTTATCTGCTGATGCACAGTGATGTAAACATGACTGTCCGGTGGACTCCCTGACTTTTGCACCTTTATCGGTGCGTTGAAGTATATAATGAATAAAATCAATTTAATAAAAAAAGAAGAAGAAACCCCCGTAACTGTGTTTACTCATCCTGTTGTCAGGTGCGTTTGTGATGTCAAACGTGACACATCAGAAAAGAAACAGAAAGGTATACGGGTCCAGTGGCAATATGAAAGGAGTCCGTTGTTAGCGGGATGCCCCGTGTTTAAAGAGGCTGCATGTAATGTTGGTGGATTGAGGCTTTACGTGATGCTGCGTGGTGTGTGTGTGTGTGTGTGTGGAGGAGTCGTGATCCAGTGTGTCTCATGTGGCTCTTTCAGGAGGAGCTGGCGGCGCGGGTAGCAGAGCAGCAGGCAGCGGTGATGGCAGCAGGTCTGCTGGACAAGAAGGAGAGCGAAGACAGCGGCGCCGTCATTGGACCCAACATGCCTGAGCCCGACCCCCCCCACACCGAGGTACACTGAACACAGACCTTAGTCATGCGTGATGGTTGAAGGACACTTTGGTAATCGATTACATGATTAACTTTGATTGCACTTCGAAAATTAGCAGGGAATTTGATTTCAGTTACATCAAAAAAAACGTTTATTTCTGGTATGTTCATCATTTTATAGGGGATTTATTTTCGCCATCCCCGTTCATATGATGTGTGGGTTTGCTGTCACAAGCTCTACTGCCATGAATAGAAAAATACACTGAAGATGGAAATGTTTCTCAGATGCAGAATCAGGAAATCTGACCTGAACCAAACCAACGTCCACAAAAGTGGTTTCACTTAATATTTAGCGTCACGGAGCAACATTCCCTCTAATGCACAGAGAGAAGTGTAGCTGTGCTGTGATACAGCATGATGTATTACCGCCCCATGTGTCATCACAGCTATCTGTGTTTGCAATTGGAAAAACTGGATAACATACAATTTTAACATTCATATTTTCAACTGAATTATTTTCTTTTAAGAAGAGACGATTAGTAGATGTGTACACGATGTTCTTACCAAAGCTGAGAGCAATGAAGAACTGCTACAGAACAGAGTGGAATGAAGGAAGGAACGTTTCCACCTCACAACACAATGTTTCATTCAGGATAGATACAGTATAGTATTGATTAATGACGAGAATCTACCAAACTGACCCCAGCTCCTCAGATGGAGGTTTAAAATGTGACTCCCTCACACATGTCTATTGTTTTTTTGTTAAAATTAAAAAGACTTGGAAGAACATAGAAAGATGGATTTAAAGAACATTTTCATGCTCTTAGAACCTGTTGGGTAAATAACTGGACGGCAAATTCGCCGCTCATATTGCAAAAACTGTAAAAACAAGGAAGCACCTAGACTTTAAAAATGGAAAACATTATTGAAATATTACCTCTTAAGTATTTAAAGGACAAGTTCGGTGGACAGCAAGGAGGCGAAACAATTTCACGGAGCCCACACATTTTAAGGAACCCTGGGTATAAATGTTAACTTGTCCTCTGTGTGTGTGCGTGTGCGTGTGCGCGCGCGCGTGTGTGTGTGTCGTAGCCTGTGGAAAGCGCTACAGAGGACAAAAAGAGAGCGAGGGCGGAGAAGGTGAAGAAGTGTATCCGTACTGCAGCGGGGACCAGCTGGGAGGACTCCAGTCTGTTGGACTGGGAATCAGGTACAAAGGCTGCTGGGACAGACGCACTCCGTCTTCAGTTTAAACAGCACCATCACCAGGAGATGTGCAGGTTCTAGGAACGACGTAGATTACTTGTCCACATGACCACTGCTAGTTTTAGGGGTCTGAAGAGAACGTAGATAAAATTGGCAGTTTGTGTAATATGGCCGTATGCAGAGAAATGTACCAGTGTTCCCACAAACTGTTGTGGTGACGTACGGAAACCCGAATCATTCTTTCACTCCACACGTGTTGGATGTCACTGAGCTGCTGCCTGGAACAAATAAGAGTAGTTAAATGACATATGGCGGGTGATGTCGATGCTTTTACTTCCTGATCCCCTGCTGCAGGGTAACGGTGACACTGTCTGAGTCGTAACACCTTCGTGTGAATCCTGTTTTCAGATGATTTCCGTATATTCTGCGGTGATCTCGGCAACGAGGTGAATGACGACATCCTGGCCAGAGCCTTCAGCAGATACCCGTCTTTCCTCAAAGCTAAGGTTGGCGTGACTTTTTAATGTGTTATTTGCCACATGAATTGATGGAAACACAACATATTTATGTATTTTTTTTTATACTTCTTAAAGCCTTTTTCGTGTGATTAATATATACAGAGCGTGAATATTACGCGGCAAAAACTGATTTTTCTTTTGCTCGCTGAGCAGAGATGTGACGTGTCTTTGTCTCACCGTGTGCACATCGCGAGACAAATGAAATGCTCACAATTGTCCTCATCAGGTGGTGAGAGACAAACGCACAGGAAAGACCAAAGGCTACGGCTTCGTCAGCTTCAAGGATCCAAACGACTACGTCAGAGCCATGCGAGAGATGAACGGTCGGTCTGAGTGCGCGCACACACACACACACACACACACACAGGGTCATGTTGGCACGTGGGGGCTTTCGATGGTCCTTGCTGTAGATCTGGAGTTGGTCAGTAATCGGCTGCCTCTGTGTCTCTCTCTCTCTCTTTGTCCAGGAAAGTATGTTGGCAGTCGTCCCATCAAACTGAGGAAGAGCATGTGGAAGGACCGCAACATGGAAGTGGTGCGCAAGAAGCAGAAAGAGAAGAAGAAACTGGGCCTCAGATAGGGACAGTGTGTGTTGTGTTGCCCAGTGGACCGACAACATTGCGTAGAGCGTGACTCTCTTTGGGATCTGTCCGATCAGGAGACGTACTGAGATTGTATAGGTGTCGACTCTTTTTTTTTTTCTTCCTTAAATAAAACCATAATTTCGTAGTTATGTTCATTGTTCATTGTACCAGAAGAGCTTTTTACTACTTGTATGAGTACTGATTGGGATTCAATTCCATTGTTTGGTCGCTGTATTTATATTAGTTGTTCCCAAACTTTTTGGCTTGTGACCTCGTTATGGACAAGAGGTGAAAGTATTTCTGACAAATAAAATTTTCTTTACTTTTATTTATTTGACCCAAAATCACAAATGTTCCTCAGAGGGCTTTACATATGTACAACGTATCTAACCCTGAAATCAGTGGATGTTAATAACAGCTGGTCATATACGTCAAAACAATCCGGCTTTACTGTACTTAAAGTGCAAGTCTCATCAGCAGGAGAATCAGATGTGCTGAGAAGCTATAATTATAATTATATAGCCTGTTTGAACCAGATGTGTGAATGTTCAGACACTGTACATCAACACAACCTCATTCTATTAAGACACTAATATTACAATTCAATATTGATTCTACGCGGTGGTGCTGAAGAGTCTTGGCATCTCCAGGGAAGATAAAGAAAGATAAAATGTTTTACATATAGGACACTCATTCTCAACAATCGTCCGTTAAAAAAAACTATTTCTACACGCTGTCATGTTCCAGTGTTGACCAGCTCCGTCAGACTGTCCCCAACAGCTCCTCTGCAGCGGTTCGCCCGCCGAAGATAACGTCGTTGACTGACACGCCGTCATAGGAGGAGCCAATCAGAGACAGCGAGAGACTCTTCTCCTTTATGAAGCTTCGCATGGACTCTGGAGAGGCAGACAGACCCACCTTACAATGACATTTCACCACGCGCTGTGAAGGTTCAGTTCTCAGGTGTAACGTCTACTCACCTACTCTCCGATAGTGTCCTTGATAGTACTGAGGTATGCAGTCCTGATGAGAGGAAACACCAAAGATTTCATCACATTTACAAAGATGCAGTAACAGTATCTGGTTCAGAGGTATCATTCATGGGCACAGACACAGTCCTGTCTTACCCTCTGTAGAGTGACCCGACTCCAGCTGGGCACTGTAGTGACTCCCAGGTGGCTGCTCACCGCCTCCGTGGCTCTTGCTAAAAGTCGCTCCTCCGTCACCGCCTCTGGGGCCCCAAACGCTTCCTGGAACCAGGCGCCACCCATCATCACCTAGGAGACAAGTTCAGCGGACTCACTCAGCTGGACCAGAGCCGCGTGGCTGGGCTGCTTACGTGCTCTTCACTGTAGGTTTTGACAAGCAGCAGCTTTGCTTTTAAAGCTGCAATAATCCATATTTTTATACGATCAAATGATTGTATGTTATGTCGCACATAGTGACGAGGCCGCACGGAGTTATCACCGGGGAGCCTTTTAGTGTCATTCAGCTCATTGTTTTGGTTTTGTTGTGTCGTAGAAGTGTTTCACCTTCCCTGAACCCAACCAGAACAGCTCTGTAACCCGAACCACAACTTTACGCAGATTAAGACCAAAACGAGCCAGATGTTGGTGGAGATCAAACCAGAGTAAACGTAGGACTTGCGTTTATCATGTGGACACAAACATGTCTCCAAATGAATAATGATGTTTCTCTGTGTGAGTAAAAGGGTAACTGTTTGCCAACACATTCAACAGAACTGTATGAAGTTATAATAATATGTCAGATGATGTGTTTACAGCCACCGTGATACTTACAAAGCGTTTTAAATACTACGGTTTAGTGTTGAACAACTGTTGTTGGCTCTCAAACTGTTCTGTCTGTCTCCATCTCTAACTACCTAATCTTAGCGTGCATTTGTTTTAGTGCAACGACAAAGCAGAAGATCATGTGTTTCACTAGCTGATCAGAGATGTTGCCCAGGTAAACAGGTCCACGTGTGAGTGAGTGAGTGTAGCGTACCGTCAGTCTAGTAGTCTGTCCGTCGGGTCTGTTGTGTTGAGGGAAGGGAACAGAGTCGTAGACCACTCCGAGTAAACCCCGATCCTCTGACGATGGAAGCAGGTGACCGAACCCCTGTCAACAAACAACACAAAGTCAGCGGGCTGCATCGTGTGTGTGTGTGTGTGTGTGTGTGTGTGTGAGAACAGGACAAGAAGCTGCTCGTACCTCAGGGAAGAGGGATGCATTAATTTGCTAATTTTGGATTTTGTTTTTAAATACATCGACCACCCTCTAATCCAAAACCCCCGTTCAGAATATAGTGTGTGTGTGTGTGTGTGTGTGTGTGTGTGTGTGTCCGACTGTAGTTCTCACCTCTACAGGCAGGACGGAACCCTCGTACTCCAGATTTACCACGGCAACTGTTACCGTGGAGATGTCCTGCAGCAGCTGGATGAGAGGTTGACAGGAGGCGGGCAGGACTGAGGAGAGGGCTGAGGGGCAGAGAGAGGAGTGAAGGCAGGAAAATGATTTATCTTTTTCTTCTGTCATTTTTCTTGTGGGTTCCATTGTGTTCGGATTAGCTCAATAATAATCAGAGGACACCAGGAGAGCCGACTGATGTGATCCAGTGTGGAAGACAGAAGCACTTGCCTTTAGCAGGCAGTGCAGAGATGATGTGGTCAGCTGACATGACTCCATCCTCCAACGTGATCTACACACAAACACACACAAGCTTCTCAAGTCTCCGTCTCTCTTCGGTGCACTGTACATTGTCAAACGTTAAAAGTTACCGTTGAGTTATAAAAATGGATGATTTCCATCATAAGCTAGTCCTGCAGACAGGGGGACTAACTCGCCATGCTAAACCAGCTAGCATCCCGTTCATAGTCACATTCAGGTAAATGTATTTAGTGTCGTCACTCACCGTCCACCCAGAGGCTGAAGGACTGATGCGTTGAACAGCTGCCTCTCTGTGAAGCTGCACTCTGCCGCTGCGCTGCAGGTACTCAGTGATGGACTCTGGGAGGGACTCCACTCCTCTGCTCAGGGACCACTGGGCCCAAGACTCCTCAACAGATCTTTGAGCCAGAGGGCCAGGGGGGACCACAGGAGCCGGTCCTGAGGGGTTTTCACACACACGACTTTAGTCCAATAAGGCCCAAAAGATCACAGACAGACACAAGATTGAAGGAATGCAGCTTCAGAGCAGATCCAGTGCCTTAATAAATCGCTTTAATACAGGACAATAAAAGTTTCATCACATCCGTGTGTAGCATCTGGTTCTGTTCAGTTGTGACATCCACATTTCTAATCCCGCCTACAAAGCTCTGATTGGTCCACTGTTTCTCCAACCGGAGAAACAGTGGTCAACAGCAGTACTAAACAAACTACAAACTACAGACATGCTGCTGGTGATTCAGAGATGTGGAACCAGGCTAATGAGTTATGCATATCCTATCAGGTACTGTTCCACTGGAAAAGTTTCAATACTACTTGGTGCTGTGTGATATCTGTCAACACCCAGCTCTAGTAAAGACCCAAAACAAAGAGGTTGATGAGATCTTGTCTGTTTTGAACTGATTTTTAGATTGTATGGGGGGAGGGGTTCATTCAGGTGTCTCTGCTGCTTAGTGTTACGTTCCCCTCACAAAGCTCAACAGGGAGAAGAAACAGAAGCAGCGTACCTGAGCCCAGCAGCATGCCCAGAGTCAGAGAGCCTCTGCGCTGCTCTGCATTGAACAAGGCAGGAAAACAGGAGCGCACACTCAGCTTCCTGCAGTCCCCGGCATACACACCGCGACACAAACTGTCCACAGCTATGTCTGCCAGCTACACACACACACACACACACACACACACGGGAAGACAATAACATATTTATCTTAGGCTGAGATGAATAAAGTGAGTGTAATGTAATCGTTGTTAAAAGATGAGTTCACATTGTTTTTGAGTCTATCACAGTAAAATCTGAATGAAGACCGCTCTGAGCCCCCCTCACCTCCTTCCCCAGCCTCCTGGAAACAAACGAGTGGATGGACTCGTCGTCCTCCTTGCCCTTCTTCACCAGTATCTCCGTGGCAACGCTCAGCAGGAGGGGACGAGAGAAGGGCAGCACGGTCCGCAGGAGTCCACTGTGAAGGACGAGACGGAGAGCCAGAGGAATTGATGAAGCGGGGATTTAAAACATTAGTCACCAGTCAAACCATCCTGTCAGAGTGTCTTCAGCGCTGACTCAGCGAACCTGACCTGATTCCTGAAGGCATCCTGTGGAGCTCTCTGTTGACGTACAAGTATCTGTTCTTGGAGGCGACGTGGCTGTAGGTGACGGGCAGAATCTCCCCCCCAAGACCCAGGTCATCCACCTACACACACACACACACACACACACACACATACACTTTTTAATAATTAAATTATTTTGAATGTCTCCAAAAATATCGTAAAGTCATCATTTATGATGCACCAGCAGTCGTTTTCATCCGTAGTAATAAAGGGATGAAGTCCTGTCTTCCCTCATCTTGGAATGCTTCATCGCTGCGTTTTAAACTCACCATATTGAGTGTGTTGTGTCCCACCGCCCCAGCGGGTCGGATCCCTCTGGGTCCGTGTTCAAACACCGCCCCATCAGACCTCCTGGTGGACCACAGCCAACCTCCGAAGCGAATGCTGGACTCCAACACAATGACCTGGAGGAGGACAAAAAGAGAGAAACTCTGAGAAGTTGAGTCAGCACGATGTTGAAGTAGAACATACAGAGAGAGAGAGAGAGAGAGAGAGAGAGAGAGAGAGAGAGAGAGAGAGTCCACAGATTAAAGTGAAATGCAGCAGAAGGTAGTGCTGAGGGGACGGGTTGTCCTGTTCATGGACCAACACATTACATTCTGCTAAACTGCTTAACTATATATTTAGCTCTGATTTCTTCTGATCATCTCCAAACTCAGCCTGCACATTTCTATCTTTTCATCCAGGCACCCGTTACACATTGTAATGATAATGGTGTTATTATTGGTAGCAAGTGCAGATTGATTTGAAATGCATTTCTTCATAGAAATAGAAATAGTAAAATAATTGTTATTAATAAAGTAATCATGTAATAATTACAATTAAAACACAAATGAATCTTAATATATATATATTTTTAGGTTTTTGTTTTATACTGTTTAAACTGTACTGAATGGTACTGTATCCACAGATATAGTTTGAAATAAGATCATGTGTGTGTGTGTGTGTGTGTTACCTTGGTAACCTGGGGGCTCTTGCACAGGTAGTAAGATGCTGCCAGACCCCCGATGCCCCCTCCAAGGACTGCAACTGTTGTCATTGGCTGATTGCAAAACACAAGTGACACAAAAGGACAGTTCAGTGTGTATGTGGTGTATGTGGTCTGTACAGGTCTGTACAGTTCTGTGGTGGGACAGGGTGTGTCTGCTACATGAGGCCTGTTGATAATGATAAGGCGTCTCACTCTGTCCCCCAGCTGTCTGTCCAACTGTCTGTCTGCTGCAGACTAAAGGTCAGCCTCATACTGAGGACTTCTAGGACTTTTTCTTTTTAACTATTTAAAAGTGCAGAAATGAGCTGAAGCAGCGTCTCCATCTTCTCTCCTACACACCAGTTTAACTTCCTGTTCTCAGTGTCTCAGTTGTTATCTGTCTGCAGATGCTACACTACGTTACTGTCTTTGCTTCCTGTCTCACTTACATTACTTGACCAACCAAATTTATATAAAACATTTTCTTAGTATATATTATTGTTATTATAAAAGGTGATGTTTCCATATTGTTCATAATATATATATATATATATATATATATATATATATATATATATATAT